TCCCACTCTCTCTAGCAATACAAAGTATCGTGCAGGCGACTAAGAGGGATCAGTCTGCAATTCTACGAGTTTCATTATCGTTATTATGGCCGTTGGTATAAGAATTTACCTCTACACTCAATCGTATCAATATAAAACGTATCAATTTTTTTGTCACGTGTGAAATTTTCATGGTTTTCGAGGGTGTTGAAACCGATAGGGTTGTCGAAATGTAAATCCAAGATGGCGGCTGCAATAGATATCAATTTTTTCATCATGTGTGTCATTCTCATGGTTTTCGCGGGTGTTGAAGTCGATAGTGCTGTCGAAATGTAAATCCAAGATGGCGGCTGATGTAGGTACCAATTTTGTCATCATGGGTGTCATTTTCATGGTTTTCGAGGGTGTTGAAGCCGATAGTGCTGTCGAAATGTAAATCCAACATGGCGGCTGCAATAGATATTAATTTTTTCATCATGGGTGTCATTGTCATGGTTTTCGAGGGTGCTGAAGCCGACAGTGCTGTGGAAATGTAAATCCAAGGTGGCGGCTGCAATAGGTATAAATTTTTTCATCATGGGTGTCATTTTCATGGTTTTCGAGGGTGTTGAAGCCGATAGTGCTGTCGAAATGTAAATACAAGATGGCGGGGCTGAAGTGGATACCAATTTTATCATCATGGGTATCATTTTCATGGTTTTCGAGGGTGTTGAAGCCGATAGTGCTGTCAAAATGTAAATTCAAGATGGCGGCTGCCATAGATATCAATCTTTTCATCTTGGATGTCATTTTCATGGTTTTTGAGGGTGTTAAAGCCGATAGTGCTGTCGAAATGTAAATTCAAGATGGCGGCTGCAATAGGTATCAATTTTTTCATCATGGTTGTCATTTTCATGGTTTTCGAAAGAGTTGAAGCCGATAGGGTTGTCGAAATGTAAATCCAAGCTGGCGGCTGCAATAGGTATAAATTTTTTCATCATGGGTGTCATTTTCATGGTTTTCGAGGGTGTTGAAGCCAATAGTGCTGTCGAAATGTAAATCCAGGATGGTGGCTGAATTAGGTACCAAGTTTTTCATGATGGCTGTCATTTTCATGGTTTTCGAGGGTGTTGAAGCCGATAGTGCTGTCGAAATGTATTTACCCTACTTTAAAAAAATCCGTATAGTCATGCTATACGTAATTTTTTAATGCGAAGGCATGCTCAATTGGATTTACCAATTTTTTACAACTTTTTGCGAGCTCTTCTCCGTAAGACGTGACGTTACGCACTGACGCGTCGCTGAGTGAACTTATGCTTATTACTTATGTTTCGCGTTAGTTTTACTTGCTTCACTTTTGGTGCGCGTACTAGTATTCTATACGTAATAATTCTATGGTTTAAAGCTATTTATGTCGAGGCACTGCCCTGTTGTATATTCTTTTCTTTCAGCTTGTGAACACGACATCCACTATATTAAAGAGGTGAAAGATTCCTTACGCTTTACGTATCACACGAGCAATTATGATTAAAAAATATACAAAAAGACAAAAGAATATTTATTTTTCCAAGTAATTTTATCTCCTTTGTGAACTGTTCTCAAATGAAAAAGAATTGGAAAGCATAACAAAGGCGGTAATTGGTTCGTACGTTCGTTGACAGAACTGACGATTGATTTATCAAACAATCGCGAATTTTCGTAATTTCTAAAAGAAAATTGAATTAGGCATTCATGCTGGTAACTTACGTTTATAAGTTTATTATACTCTTAAATTAATTGAATTTAAAACATTATTTAAGTAACCTTTAAATAAAGTTACTTAAACTTTTTATACATGGTAGAACCATGCTGCAGCTATATGAGTAGTATAGTTGTAGCACGAATGGGTCGGCACGATCGGGGAAGGAACGCGGTTTCATAGTAAACAAGCATAAAATAGCAGCTTAACACTGTAGTGTTTCGTACGGTGAGAGTAGAGAACTGGAGACCCTAATATCTGAAAAAGAGGCATTCCATTTTAGTCCTTACGCGTGACAACACATCTGCATTTTAGTTTGTAATCGAGGACAGATGTAGATGTCTATGAGGATAGATGTAGATGGGTCATAGCAGCCACTTACCATCAGGTGGAATGTATGTTCGTTTGTCTAGTAGTTAGAAATAATATTGGTTATCATCATAATTATTATTACTACCCGCCACAAGTCCTCAGAATCCTGGCATTGGCATTTCAACTTACTGATATGATAATGGGCTTCGTCGGTTACTCTGGTTCTTCTATGGATAACTTCGTTACGAATCCTTTCAAGAAATGAAACACCGGTAATAATATAATAGTATAGCACTCACTTTTACTGTTTTCAAAGGGAACATCTTGTCTATGTGGATATGTTCATATGTCAAAGAATACTTTTTGTCTGTGATATATCGAGAAGAAATTTACATAACCGGTGGCTTAGTGTCGGTGTAACAATACCCACTACCCCATATAACCCGAGAATGTTGGAAGAGGCAACAGACAAAAACAAACCAAGAGATGGGCAACATTTTCGTAATAAGAGCTAAAAAATAAAAAAGTAAACTGCGGTCACCAACTCACCTGCCTATATATAGAAAATGTATACCCTAAAAATGCCTAGCTGTAGAATATATAGGTATACCCTATGATTAAATGAGAAACGTCAAACACCTCATTCCCCTGTGACTAAAAATTATTCGGGAATGAAAGAGTTAAAATTTAACCGCGATAAAATCCGTGTAAGCAGTTTCACTTTATAGGTAGTGTTCGTGTAAATGTAAGAAATGATTATATCCCCTATAAGGCAATCTTTGGGGAGGCATATGTTCAGTAGTGGAATTTTGATATCATGTAATGGCAACTTATCTGCATAACGATTAATTTTATCACAAAGACCTGATTTAATTTTCACGTTCGAACAAGTTGGCGACATATTGAATGATTATAGATCAACTTCCCCGTAAGTACCCTCAATCAACGACTATTTATTACGTGGTAGAGCCACGCTTCAACTAAATTTGATTTGGTCTAAAGATCAAAATAAGCAGTATAATACCATATCATGCAATTACAAGTTAGTATATCCTTTCTACCGGTCGGCTGCTTTCAGAGGTAGTTTTAAATATAATGCCACTAAATGTTGGAATAACCTCCCGCCTCCACTGCGTGACCTGAAAACAATTAGTGGGTTTAAAATCAAATACAGGTTACACTTACTTTCGGAACAAAAAAATACCGATCTATAAAAAAACTGGTAGGAGGTTAAGTTCTTTCAACACGTCAGTAATCTCAGTCCCATAAATTATGTAGATATTTTAATTTTCACTTTATATAATATATAAAACTATTTTATTTAAATATTTGTATAATAAATTTATTTTTTCTGACAATCATTTTCTTACCATTATTCTTTAGCCAACGTTTATCCCGCATCCTTAATAAATAAAATTGATATATTTAGAAGGAAAACGTTAATTCTATTGTGTACTTACCTTCATTAGACTAATGATATCCACTATTCATGTGAATAAAAATTTAAAAACACATATTTTTTTCGGGTCGGCTCGAACGAAGAAGGACCACGCTCTCCCAAAATACCAGCGTAAAATAGAAGCTTAATGCTGCTGTATTTGGTATGGAGAGTGTAGAGAACCGGAGACCATTTTTACTGGGAACGAGGCATTCCATCGTATTCCTCAGTGGTGACAACGCAACTGAATTTTGACTCTTAATAGAAGATAAATGTCTATGGACCACTGAATCCACTTACCATCAGGTGAATTGTGTGGTCCTTTGTAAGCCCCGTTCTAAAAAATATTAAATGTTGATAAATGAATGTCAAAGAAGTGGGAGAGGTGTGCCTGGATCGTGTCAAATGAAAGTCCGTGGTGTCTTCCTACTCTTCTTATAATTTCCCGGGCATGCAGGTTTCTTCAAGATGGTTTATCTTCACCATTGAGCACGTGATAACTTAGCTTTTGATGATTGATTGGTAGAAGGATTAATAAAATAAAACAATATATTGCTTGTTGCGTCCGGTACATAGCAGAAAATCTTTTCTCTCATTGCAACATAATTGAGAAATACAATATATAACATAATTACAAACTAAAAATAATTTAATTAAAAAATTATAAAATTCTGAAACAAAAAAGCTGATCTTTGAACGGCTGATTAGAAGAAAGATGAAAATATTTTATTGAAACGTTGCTAAGAACACTCTCGATCAAGTCACCTTTTAAATAAAAATTAGGTATTTTTTTAAATAAATTGATTATACGTGATAGAGTCATGCTGTAGCTATATTACTAGTATAGTTGTAGTACGAATATGTCGGCTTGATCGGGGAAGGACCTAGCTCTCACAGAAAACCAGCGTAAAATAGCAGCTTAACGCTGCTGTGTTTCGTATGGTGAGTGTCGAGAACCGGACCCTTTTTATCGGCAAAGTGGCATTCCATCTTAGTCCTCACGGGTGACAAAGCATCTGCATCTTGAGTCTTTATTGAAGATAGATGTAGATGTCTATGAGCTACAGCAATCAGTTGCCATCAGGTGGACTGTGTGCTCGTTTGTCACCCTATCCTATAAAAAGAAATCTAAGTTGATTCATTATATAAAGTAAAACATATTACACCCCTCTCTTAGCCTTAGGGGTTAATAAAAAAGCATATCGTTTAATAAGATTATTTGACGTATTCTTTTAATATTCTCTTAATCTAAGTGACCCAATAACGCCACAGGGGTTTGGCTAAGTTCAATTCCAAAAATATCAAGCAAGCCGAACATTTTACCCTACTTGTAATAATTTTCCAAGGGTACGATTAACCATGAAATTTCATTCGGGAATAGGATTTATAAGGCCTGTATAAAATGAAGAGTATTTCCAGTTTGATAACTTTGTCATATTTTAATATTTAAAAATTCGTCATTTTTTTTTTTACTTTTTATAGCCCCCTAACTACATACTTTTTTTTTATAGGAGAGGGGGTAAACGAGCATGCGGCTCACCTGATGGTAAGTGACTACCGCCGCCCATGAACAACTGCAACACCAGGGGAATCGCAGATGCGTTGCCGGCCTTTTAAAAAGGAGTACGCTCTTTTCTTAAAGGTCCCTAAGTCGTATCGGTCCGGAAAAATTGCTGATGGTAATCGATTCCACAAGGAAGTCGTGCGAGGAAGAAAACATCTTCTAAATCGCACAGTGGTGGACCGCCAATCATCCAGATGGTGTGGATGGTATCGGGAGTTCTGCCGCGATGTGCGTTCGTGAAATTTGGCGGCTGGGATTAATCCGAACAATTCCTCAGAGCACTCCCCATGGTAGATGCGAAAGAAAATGCAAAGGGATGCAACATCTCTTCGCAGTGCCAATGAATCGAGCCGATCGGAAAGGGCTCGGTCGTCGACGATTCGAGCAGCTCTGCGTTGGATGCGGTCAAGTGGAAGGAGCTGGCACTGGGGAGCCCCTGCCCAGAGATGGGAACAGTATTCCATGTGAGGCCGAACTTGCGCCTTGTTAAGTTGCAGGCGGTGTGCCGGCATGAAATACTGTCTCGCTCTGCTGAGCACGCCAAGCTTTTTAGAGGCCAATTTGGCCTTCCCTTCCAAGTGACCACGAAACTGCACGTCACTCGATATGTCGACTCCGAGGATACCGATACTGGCTGAGGCAAGAAGGGGAGTGCCTTGAAACTGAGGAGATACGACAAAGGGGTTCTTTTTAGCGGTAAACGCGCAAACTTGTGTCTTCTGAGGATTAAATTGGACTAGATTTAGTCGCCCCCAATCCGAGACTTTGTTCAGCAAAGACTCGACTTCAGACACAAGTTTGTTCCGGTACTCAGCGACGTTTTCCCGAGAAATATTGGCACGGCCGGTGTATAGAGCATCACCAGTGCTGTCATCCACATAGCAATGAATGTTACCAGTTAGCAACATATCATTGATATGCAGAAGAAACAGCGTTGGTGATAGCACACAGCCTTGTGGAACACCAGCATTTATAGGCTTGTAGTCAGAGCATGCACCGTCTACAACGACCTTGATGCTCCGATCTGCAAGGAAGCTGGTGATCCAATTGCACAATTTATCGGGAAGCCCATAGGAAGGGAGCTTCGAAAGAAGCGCTTTGTGCCAAACCCGATCGAAGGCCTTCGCAATGTCCAGACTAACGGCCAACGCCTCCCCCTTGGACCCTACTGCCTCCGCCCATCTATGGGTCAGGTAGACCAGAAGATCACCAGCTGATCGACCCCGACGAAAACCGTATTGGCGGTCACTAATCAGCTGGTGATCCTCAAGGTACCGGATGAGCTGGCAGTTAATAATGGATTCCATTATTTTGGAGAACAAGGAGGTGATCGCGTTAGGCCTATAGTTGGATGGGTCTGAGCAGTCGCCTTTTTTAGGGATCGGGTGGACAAAAGCTGTCTTCCATGAATTCGGGACTACGCCTTGGGAGTAGTAGTACCAGAAAAGACGCGTTAGGACCGGTGCCAACTCTGGAGCACACGTCCTCAGCACAATTGGAGGGATTCCGTCAGGCCCACTTGACTTTTGGATGTCCAGGGAGAGCAGTGCTTTGCGAACCGAGCGCTGTGAGAACAGCACATCCGGCATGGAGCACTCACACCGCAGGATGGTCAGCGATGTTTTCCCCCCGTCATCAAGACTCGAGTTGGACGCAAAAAGGGAGCCTAAAATGTCGTCTTTGTCTTTTGCGTCATGGGCCAATGAGTCATCCTCCCTGTGCAGATATGGTAGTGATGGCTTACAGAAATTCCCTTGGACAGCCTTGTCGAGAGACCAGAATGCACGGGTTCCCGAAGGAAGGCGAAATAGTTTCTCGCCAATTCTGCCTATGTGCTCTGACTTTTCCTTGGCAATAACTCTTTTGAAGGACCTGGAGGCGAAGTTATACTTCTTTTTAAGTGTGCTGGTATTTACATCCCGAGTCGCCGAAGCCGCAGCCCAGGCTTGAAACACTCCTGCTTACTGTGTAATGCAGTCTTACAGGAGCGACCAAACCAAGGCTGAGATCTGCCTCCGATGGGTACCACAGATGATGGAATAAATAGTTCCATTCCCTGTAGCACCACATCAGTGACAGAGTCAGCAACAGCGCTGGGATCGTCCGGCGAGAAGCAAACCCGCCCCCATGGGTAGGATGCAAAGAAAGACCGCATTCCGTCCCAATCCGCCGACCTGTAATGCCAAACACGGCGGCAACCTGCAGAACGCAACCGCGAAGGGAGCGTGAGTGGCACCACACTCCGGATCAGACAATGGTCCGAAGAGCCGAGAGGGGCATCGACGGAAACCTGATATCCGTCCGGATGAGAGGTCAGCAGAAGGCCCAACAGGGAAGGTGTATGATCCTCCACATCTGGAATCCGCGTAGGCGAAGTAACCAGTTGTGTCAGACCATATGCCAAGGCAAAGTCATAAACAGATCTCCCCACATGATCGGTTAGACGTGAACCGAGCCATTCGGCATGGTGGGCGTTAAAATCGCCAAGAATCACGATCTCTGCGGATGGGACCTGTTGTAGCAAGGAATCTGTAGCCATTTGGACGTAGTCGATGAGTCGGTGTGTACTACAACATTGATAAATTTTTAGGCTATAATAATTATTTCAGAAAATAACATAACATTCACAGCTGTCATCGAAAGGGGTAAGCAGAGACTACGTACTGTACGTACGTACATACGTATTTGACACGATCCTGACACATCTCTCTCACCTCATCCACTTCCTTATACCTAAATATATGTATGTGCTCGTCGTTTTAAGGTACTATATAATGTCTAATATTCAATAGATTTGGCCCATCTTTAATATATAGCAAGTTTAGGGCAAGTGTAAGGTATCCCTTGCTGGCTGTGCTAATCGCCTCTGCAAAATACATTTGCTTTGTCACACTTTCTTCATTATATCTTTCTACATACCCAAGCCACAGACGCATTAGCTTCTTAATCTATCTCCAATCGAAATCACGTCATCTTCTAACAATAACTTCAGTATGCAATCGCCAGTGCTGTCATCTGCATAGCAATGAATGTTAATTGTTTGCAAAATATCATTGATATGCAGAAGAAACAGCGTTGGTGATAGCACGTCGCCTTGTGGAACACCAGCGTTAATGGGCTTGTAATCGGAGCATGCATGGTCTATTACGACTTTGATGCTCCGATCTGCAAGAAAACTGTTGATCCAATTGCATAATTTCTCGGGAAGCTCTTAGGAAGCAAGCTTTGAAAGAAGCGCTTTGTGCCAAACCCGATCGAATTCCCTCGCTATATCCAAATAAACGGCCAACGCCTGTCCCTTAGACTCTACTGCGTCCGCTCATTTCTGAGTTAGGTAACCCAGAAGATCACCAGCTGAGCGACCGTGACGGTATCCGTATTGTCGGTCACAACTGAGCTGGTGGTCCTCAAGGTATCGCATGAGCTGGCTGTTAATAATGGACTCCATTATTTTAGAGAACAAGGAGGTGATGGCAATAGGCCTATAGTTGGATGGATCAGAGCGGTTACCTTTTTAGGGATTAGGTGCGCGAAAGCTATCTTCTATAATTTCGGAACTACGCCTAGGAAGTAGAAGTACCGAAAAAGACGCGATAAAACCGGTGCCAACTCATAAGCACACGTCTTCAGCACAATAGGAGGGACGCCATCAGTCCAACTCGACTTATTAACCTCCAAGAAGGGGAGTGCTCTGCGCACCGAGTATTGAGTAACAGCAGATCCTGCATGGAGTACTCACATCGCGCGAGGAACGCAATGTGAACCCTGCAGATCGGCTTTGTCTTTTGCGGCATGGGCCAGTGAGTCGTCCTCCCTGTGCAGAGATGGGAGAGATGGCTGACAGAAGTTCCCTTGGACGGCCTTGGCGAGAGACCAAAATTCACGTGTTCCCGAAGGAATGAGAGGAGACATGTTATTGCTGTCTTTATTGATTTTAGTAAGGCATTTGATGTTTTAAATTATAATATACTTTTTTCAAAATTAAAAAAAAACGGAATTCAGGGTCTGGCTCTGAATTGGTTCAAAAACTATCACACAAACCGTCATGCAGTAGTAAAGGTCGCAGGTAAATATAGAAATAAAATATCTACTTCACAGGATACAGCCCAGGGCTCCCTTATTAGTCCGTCCGAATAGTTGTTATATGTGAATGATATGTGTAATATATTTAAGAATTGCTCCATTTACTAGTTCGCAGACGACACATGTCTAATAGCTGCACATAACAACCTATTTAAAGCACAAGAATGGATGCAACATAATGTTGGGCTGGTAATCAATACTCAAAAAACTAAACTGATGCATATACACTCAAGCTACATAAAATATGATACACAACCCACTATCATTGCACATGAACACAGCTGTCCGCATCAGCAATACACCAAATGCAACTGTAACCCCCTGGAAATGGTTGATCAGCATATGTATTTAGGCCTAATAATAGATAGTAAATTTAACTGGAGACCTCATGTTATTCACATTTGTAACAAACTAAGAGCAATACTTTGTAATTTAACAATACTTAAGCATCAAAATTCCTTACCAAACGTTGATACTTTTATATTGGTCAGTAGCAAATTCAATAACAAACTATGGACTGAGTAGCTATGGTAGAATATTTAAAACTTATATACAAGAAATTTGTAAAATACAACTAAAAATCTTAAAAGCAATAGTTCCTAACTATGTTGAGCAACTGTACAGACATGATGATTCAAACTAATTTTTTTTTATATAGGAGAGGGGGCAAACGAGCATGCGGCTCACCTGATGGTAAGTGACTACCGCCGCCCATGAACAACTGCAACACCAGGGGAATCGCAGATGCGTTGCCGGCCTTTTAAAAAGGAGTACGCTCTTTTCTTGAAGGTCCCTAAGTCGTATCGGTCCGGAAAAATCGCTGATGGTAATCGATTCCACAAGGAGGTCGTGCGAGGAAGAAAACATCTTCTAAATCGCACAGTGGTGGATTCCTTCCCAATATTAAATTTAATTCCTTCCCATAATTTAAATATTGTAAAACGTTAAATGAACAAAATAAAATTAAGAAATTAAATTGGCAGTCCTATGTGAAGAGTGGGAACAGTTGAGTAAACCAAAAAAATATAGTAGACCTGTAACCATACGTAAGTTGAATAATTATGTTACCGACATTTAAGCTTCCAACTTACAAAAATATTTATGGTAAGGGGACATGGGAATAACTTCTCCCCTCGTTGCTCAACGAACTTCCTCTCACTATCTTAAATAAAATAAAATATTATAAAGTAAAAATAGTTAAAAGAACACTAAAAGAGTTTCTAATTAAAAAACTAGATGTTCGGTATGGTATGTTATGTGTATGTTGTATTATTATAAGTTAGTATAATATATTAATAGTATCCTAATAAATAACATAATTACTGTAAATTGCCTAATCTAATGTGTTTATACCTGATTTATCTCAAGTTTACATATTTATTAATGTACTTAGTGATTAGCTGATTAGTTATTAAATATATAAATCTACCATTATTTTCAATAATAGTTTTATATAATATAATAGTTTATAGTTAATAGACCACAGTAACTAAACCATGTGTGGTTTTTGCTGTAGGGCTAAAAAATTAACTTTGTCTTTTTTTAAATATTTTGAATAAATAAAAAAAAAAGTAAAATCCAAAGAGCAGCGCGCTACATGGACAACGTTTAGCCAAAATAATATCTATATTATTTATTAGGGTATGGATTAGTGTTAGGGTATAGATGGATAATTGTGAAATAAGTCTACAATATGACAAATCTAATATGAATATTTTACCTTTTACGAAAAGCTAGGCAAGAAAATTTTTGATACATTTCTTTTAGATATATAAGTTCCATATAAAATTATGACCTATAAATCCTAGACTAGCATTATACATCAAATTAGGCGAAAACTCAGACAACCTTCATAGCAAAACAAAATTAAATTACGCAAATATTTATAATGAGCCCATATGGTTCTAAGAAATAAACCGTTATCGTTACGGCCTATTAAAGTCCACTGTTGAACATAGGCCTCCCCTGTAGATTTTCTCATAGATTTGTCGTGGCTACTATGACTAATATCATCACTACGAGGCAATCTATGGGGTAGAACAATGTTCAGGAAAGTGAGCTCGTCTATTTTATGGGACTTTGTTTTAATAGCGAGTAGAAGTTATCATATATTGCATGCCTTAAGCACAAAGCGCGTAGGTATGTTCTACTAGCATCTAAAAATCAAGATTCCAACGCTTTGTTGCCTAAAATCGTATCTAACAATCATATTGAACATAGAAATGATATAAGAAGCACATTCTCAGAAAGACAAATGATTGTTGAATTTACAAAATTTTTTAATTGATTTATTGCTATTTTTACATGAAAAAGTGATTTTAGTGGCTTATGGTGTAGATTTATCAAGTTCGCACGGAGTAGTAAGCACGATTACTTTTTAAAATATCAATTGTTTAACTCAATCCATTTTTAATCTCTTCATCTATCATGTGGAAGTCGATGGAATGTAAATGGAAGTTTAATTTTGTTTTGTTTAGTTATAATTAATTTTATTTGGCTGCGAAATGTCGACATTTTCGGTATTTTATCAGCTCTGTATTAATTTATTTTACTAAATAGACTGCCTCACTTACTCCGGCGTCGACCGCTGTCGTGAGTGGATACTGTATAAGTTATTTGCAGCGGCGTAAAAAGATCGCAGTACAAATACAAAATATTCGAAAAACCAAATTTCATACATACTTGATTATTATAATAATTAGTGATTTTTATTACAATATTTTAGAAACACAGAATAAATAACATCAGTACGTAATAAAATTAAGTGGGTATTTATACTTAAATACGTCTTAGACTTTATGCAGTGACCTGCTAATAATGAGTCGTGCACTTCTGGATTTTCCAATTTTTTTTAAATTGGAGTTTGACATAAAATTAGTGAAAAATTCGAAGTATAATAAGGTTATTAGTGAAAACTTGTGCGTATTCATACTACTTTAAAAATACGTATAATCAATTTATAAGTAATTTTTTAATGCGCTTAGGGCATGCAACATTGGATTTATCAATATTTTTTTTAATATATTATGACTTTATTAGATTGCGGTTACATTATCGTCTCTTGCGACACGTACGAAACGAATGAAGATTTTTATTTTCAAAAACAATTTTGAATTTAGCGACTTTTAATTTTTAATTAGCGACCCGCTCCAGCTTTGCTTGCACAAATCAAGTAATGTGGCATTATGCATATTTAAGATAATCAGAACCATTTATTATTCGTATTTTCAAAATAAAACAAATTTTTCGATAACATATAGCCAAGATCTCTCCTGGCATTGCTCTCTATCTGTAAAGTTTCATCACAATAGGTACTTTCAGTCATTCCGAAGATCAGACATACAGACAGACAGACAGACTGACCGCTAAACATTTTTAAAATATTTATTTGTTTATTAATAGCATACAAATAACCCCCTGAGCTAAGTAGAAGCCAGTTATGTCGATATTACAGACAGATACCTCAATTTTCTTTATTTGGATATATTACGATAAGCTTTACAAATCTATAAAGCAAAAAAACACGGTTTAAAAATTAGAAAAGCTTAGAGTTTCAACTTTAAAATAGAAACCCACTTAATCATGCATTAGCATTTCAGCATACATAAGCATCGTACTACTTTAATCCGACCGTACGCTTGTTGAATTCTAGAATTGCTCTCTTGCTCTAGAATACTAGATGGAGTCTCTATTTTGTAATATTAAAATCAATTGGCAAAATCAGTATAAAAAGTAGAGTAAAATTATATCTTTTCTCTAGGCAAACACTACACACTTCCAATAAAACTGTTTAAACGGATTTCATCGAGTTCAATTTTGCTTATTTTTTTAAACTTTATTTTTGATTCCGATGTTTAGGCGCTTCGCAACCTATTTCCTCTCACGACCATGAGTACTGCAATGCACCAGAAATTTCTGTAATTTGAAATAAGTAAAATTAAACGCAATAAACATTCACAAATATAATAAAATTTCAAATTAGAACATATTACTATTGTAATAGAATAGAATAGAATATTTTTTTATTCAATATAGATCACATGTGTAATTCTTATTGAAAGTAATTTTTTACTTTACCACTGGTTAGAATAAAAACCTCTGTCCTGGGAAGAACCAGCAAGAAACCCAGCGGGACTTTTTTAAAAACCATATTTTACATTAATGATTGGTAGATACAAAATTTATTTTAGTAACAGCTTGGAAGCGACCACCTCATTCCCAGGGGTTATTATCAACCATGTATTCATTTATACTATAATAACCCTTTTTATACAGTTTCTACTTAACAATACATTTAAACTTGGTAATAGAGAGAGCCTGTACACTTTCCGGGACCCTGTTGTAATAGCGTATACATTGCCCCAT